AAGGTACCGGAAAAATTTATACCTGTGTTTCATTGACTATGCAAAGATATTCAACTATGTAGATCATATCAAATTATGGACAACAATGTCAAGAATAGGAATTGCAGAACACTTAATTGTGCAAATGAGGAACTTGTACATAGTTCCTTAGGCAGTTGTTTGAACAGGCAGAACAAGGGATACTTTCTGGTTTAAAATCAGGCAAGATGTGTGTCAGAGTTGTACTCTTTGATCACACTTACTCAATCTGTATGCTGAGCAAATCATTCGAGAAGCTGGATCATATGAAGAAGAACAGGGTGTCAGGATTGAAGGATGACTCATTAATGACATGTGATGTGCAGATGACACAACATTGCTTGCTGAAAGCGAAGGAAACTTGAAGTACTTAGTGATGAAGATCAGAGACTACAGTCTTCAGTATGGATTACTCCTCAATATTAAGAAAACAAAAATCCTCACAATTGAATCAATAATTAACATCATGATATATTGAGAAAAGATTGAAGTTGTCAAGGATTTCATTTTAAGTGAAATTTCAGTTTGCAATCACCACCCATGGAAGCAGCAATCGAGAAATCAAATGATGTATTGCATTGGAAAAATCTGCTGCAAAAGACCTCTTTAAAATGTTAAAAAGCAAGGATTTCCCTTCAAAGGCTAAGGTGCACCTGACCTAAGCCACAGTATTTTCAATGGCCTCATATGTATGCAAAAGCTAGATAATGAATAAAAAAGACAAGAAGAATTGATATCCTTGAATTATGATGTTGATGAAGAATATTGAATATACCATGAATTGCCAGAAGAATGAAAAAATCTGCCTTGAAAAAACAGCCAGAATGCTTACTTCTAGCAAGGATGATGAACCTTCATCTTATGACTTTGTACATGTTATCAGAAGGGTTCCATCCCTGGAGAAAAGCATTATGATTAGTAAAGTGGAGGGTCTGCAAAAAAAGAGGAAGACCCTCAAATAAATGGAGTGAAACAGTGGCTGCAACAATGTGCTTAAATATAGCCAGGATTGCAAAGATGGCACAGAAACAGGTAGTGTTTTGTTTTGTTGTACATAGTTTGTCAATGAGTTGGAAGTGACTGGATTGCTCCTAACAACAACAGATATTTAAGCAGTCCTCTATTATTTCCAAGGAGCTCTGGTGGTACAGTGGATAAAGCATTTGTCTGCTAAGCAGAAGGTTAGCAGTTCAAACATGACGATGAAGCAATCTACTTCGGTAAAGATTTACACCTTTGGAAACTATATGCTGGGGGTGGCTATGAGTTGAAATCGACTCAGTGGCAGTAAGTTTGGTTTTTGGTTTAGTTTCTGTTATTTCCAGTGTTTTGTTAAAACAGGATAGAAAGAACATAAATCTGCAATGTTTTTGTGAATGTATCCATAGGATAAATTCCCAGCAGTAGAACTGCTAGGAATTATCATGTTATTCCCTTGCTTAAAACCGTTTTGTTTTCCCAACCCATTGCAGTGAGAATAAAATCCAATTCCCTTACCTTGGTTTGGAGTCCCTGGGTGGTGTGCAGTTTAACTCACTTCGCTGCTAATCTATAGGGTGAAGGATTGAATCTACCCAGAAGCACCTAGGAAAACAACATAGAGATCTACTTCCAGAAAATCCACCATTGAAAACCCTAAAAACCAAATACCAAACTCATTGCTGTCGAGTCAGATCCGACTCATAGAGACCCCTCCGTGGGTTTCTGAGGCAGTATCACTATGGAAGTATATTGCCCAATCTTCCTTCCAAGGAGTGGCTGGTGGGTTTGAACCACTAGCCTTCTGGTTAGCAGTAAAATTCTTAGGCCACTGAAAACCCTAAGCAGAACAGCTTACTCTGATGTTACTCTGAGTTTGAGTGGACAGGGCTGATTTATACTGGTTTAACAGGCTGTTAAGACTTTGTCTCTGCTTTCAACATTATTTCTTATCAATTATCTCTTAGGATGGTGGAGCCACCATAGTCTTTTGTCTTCAAACCTTAAAGTTCATTCTTTATCTCAGAGCCTTTGTAATTGCTGTTCCTTATTGGAACACTCTGCCCCCAGGTGGCTGGCTCTTTGTCATTGGATGGACAGTTGAAAGTCACCTACTAAATGAAAGCTGACAGGTTTAAATGAACACTCTTACCCCTTCGCATCATGCTGCTTTATTTCAATCCTGGCACATCACTCCACATAAAATTATTTTGCCTGTTTTCTGTGTTTATCTCTAAATGGGAGTTCCATGAGAGCAGACTTTGTCTACTGGAACCTACTGGGTTCCAAGTGCTCAAAAGAGTGCCTGGCATGGAGTATACACACATTGAATATCTAAGTGGATGGTTAAAGGATATGTGGATTTAAAATTATCAGTGTGCTACCAAATTGCTTTCCAGTTTTCACTGCCCCCAGTCATGCCTATTCTGAATACCCTCATCAGCACTTAGTTCTATCAAGTGTTTATGATTTTTTGTTGTTGTCCAATGTAAAGCGTAGTGCCTAAGGCACTTGACAGCTAACCAGAAGGCTGGAGGTTCAAACCCACCAGCCACTACTTGGAAGGACAATGGGGCAATCTACTTCTGTAGTGATACTGCCTGGGAAACCCAAGGAGGGGTCACTATGAATTGGGTCCGACTCGACGGCATTTAACAACAACAGCAACGATGTAAAGGTCAAGAAACAGGGATTTAGCTCCCATCTGGAATAACTTTTTCTAGAAACTTTTAATAACAAATCAGATATTTGTTTTTAACACAACATCAAATCTATCTGCAGAAAATAAATAGGAAATGATAGATGTTATTTTAAAAGATACATAGTAACTAAATGAGTATTTCTCATACTAGTTTGAAACTGGTGGGATGACTAGTAAGAATACTGAATTTAAAAACGGAAGGCCTTTAAGACAAAAGTAGGACTCATTCTTGCAACATGCAATAAAACTTTTGTTCAATTTTTCATTCTTGATTTCTTTCTCATTTCCCTCCCTTCTTTCATTTATTTAATCATTCATTCACTTTACAAATATTTATTGATTGCTACAGGCCCAGGCACCATATCTCTCTTGGGGCCACACCCACCAATGCTGCCAAGTGCCTTACCTTCAAAATGACTCTGACTTGTACTGCAATCATCTTTAAAATGAATAAACCAAAAACCAAATCCACTGCCATCGACTGAGTCAATTCCAGGGTGGATAAATCTTTATGGACCCGTCTTCCTTTCCAAAGAGTAGCTGAGGGATTTGAATGTTAACCTTCTGGCACCATGCCACCACATCTAGAATGAATGACCAAACCAAAATCCAAACTCACTGTCATAATTCGGATTTACAGCAACCCCCCTTGGTTTTCTGAAGTGGTAAATCTTTAAGGAAGTAAATTGCCCCATCTTCCTTCTACAGCCTGGCTGGTGGGTTGAAAGGCCTAAATAGAGAGATGAGTAAAGTTAATACATGTTATCAATTTTTAAATTAAATTGCTGATCAACTAGCCTAATCCTTTGATCGTATAATGTTGTACTGGAAGGTTTCATTTTGTTGCTGTTTGTTCTTTAACTCTTCTTTCTTTATTGTATCTTCCTACTTTATAAAGGTGCTTCTCAGTTCCCATTCTTTAGTAGCCACGACGCACTAGGGCTTTCACTGAAAATAGCCTGTCTTTGGGCTATCAGGGAGTTAGGGAAATGCAAGCAAGACAATTTTTAACGACCACCCAATTTTTAAATCATACGTTATTATTTTTATAAGCTTACAAATAAATTCATAGATTCAATTATTAGATGTCTCCGTGTCTCGCTGTACATATTTCTTAACTTTCGGGGGGTAATGGATGGAGGAACAAACAGAATAGAAAATACTTCTTCACTTCGGGAAAAGAAAGAAGCTGAGGTTATAAATGTAGACAACCTTGCTATAAGGCTGGGGGCTCAATAGGGGTCGACATTACATTTAACCCTCTCAAACATTGTTTTGTTCCACCTCCACGAACAATAAAAAAAGCAAAATTACTCATGTATACAAAGACAGTTTTTGCATTGGACCAGTTGGCCCAGTTCTATTATCTGCTAACTTCCCTCCCCCCTTGATCTCAGTTCATTAACTCTCCCCCTTCTCGAACAAAAACCTTCTTAACTTCTCTCCCTGCCTTTTCTTCCTCTGCTGGCTACTAGCAGCCCTAGCCTTTCCACCATCCTCATCCTCAGCATCCCCAGCCCACTCGTGATTAGGAGCTCAGCTGGCCTCTCGTCCCCGGGCTAGTGTGAGGCGGAAGAGGCCCGGAGGGGGCGGTGGGGGTGAGGGAGGTGGGAACTGCGTTCCCACCAAATGTACTCTTGGCAAATTTGCCCAGAGTTTTCTTGCGAGAGTGCTGACAAGTTTTTACTATTTCCTAATCGCCTAGTGGCCAAGCTCGCCGTCCGCTTGCCTCTGGGATGTGTCAAGTACCCTGGAACTTCATTCAAAGACAGGGAGAGCCTGTCCACGAGGTTGGGATTGGGGGAAGGGAGGTGTAGATGACCTCGAGGCCACTTCTTCCCGTCCTGAGCTCCTAAGCCTGTTCCCCTAGTCGCCTTCGCCAAAACAAAACTGCTCTTAGGGAGGGAGAGGTCTTACTCTCGCCAGCTCCTCCTCACAAAGGGTTACTTTTTCCGGTCGCAAGAGGGGGAGGAGATTTCCCCGCGGACGAGTAAAAGGGGTGATGGACAAACGTGCGGGCACTAAGACCGCAAGGCATTCATTTCCTCCTACGGTAGTTGCCGACGCCGGGAGGAGGAGAACCCCAGGCCGAGGTGAAGCGAGAGGAGCCAAAGGCAATGCTCAACCCTGGATGTAGCTGAGAAAGGCTGGGAGAGAGAGCCACCGCCTGAGACCCTGCGGCGAGGGGAAGACGCAGGGGGGTGGGTGGGGGAAGCAGACAGGCGAGCCCTCGAAATCAAGCGCTTTACAGATTATTTTATTTTGTGTAGAGAACACGTAGAGACTCCGAAGATCAGCCCCAATGAACATGTCAGTGTTGACTTTACAAGAATATGAATTCGAAAAGCAGTTCAACGAGAATGAAGCCATTCAATGGATGCAAGAAAATTGGTAGGTGATGCTTTCGCGTGGTACTGTTCCCCAGGAGCCCTGCGCGTCTTTCTGGTGTTCTTTAATGTCGGTATTCCCTCTCGGGGCGTGAATGGAGCGATGTTTCTCGAGCATTGCGAACCGATAACCTAAGTTCCCGGGTCCCTGGAGTGCAGGAGACCCTGGCGCTCCAGGAAGCATGCGGGTCAGTGGGTGCCCTGTGTGAACCATACATGTATTTTTAATATAGATTATATAACATAGAACATATATGTGTGCATTGAGTAGATGTCTGCGCGACAGGGAAGGCGGGAGAGATTCCACGGTCCAGATTTCCTGTTTTCATTTAGATTTGGATTTTCTTGCTTGGCCTCCCAACAGCCGAATGTAAAAGGCAGCGGAGGGAGAATCCGATCTCCTGCTCCCTTAACCCTCTCTCGCCCGCCGCCCTCGGCTCTGGTCCTCGCCGTCTCCCCATCCCTCTTGTCCTTCCTTTCTCCTTGCAGCTAGTCTACTTCACTGCCCTCCTCTCCGCCACTCCCCAACTCAATTCCTCCATTCGTGGACCTCTTTCCGGTTTTATAAAGAGACCAGGGTGGGGTGTGTGTGAGAGCAACGAAAACAGTAAAAAAAAAAAAAAAAAAAAAAATGAATGAAACCGAGCGAGTGGAGGAGCCACGCCATTATTAAGTTTCTGTTTCACGGTAACGCCTATGGACACACTTCTAATTCAGTGGAAAGCTGCTGTCTGGAGTTCAAGCACAGATTTAAAAAAATAAAAATAAAAACCAAACCCTAGATCTGCAGTCCTCTTCCCTAGAAAAAGTTCTCAGAGGGGAAAGCATCTTTCTTTTTTACTGTGTTCCCTCCGCAGATCCTCTTGAAAATCCTTATGTGGGAGGCGATCCAGTGTCACCTTGCAATATTTAACAGGGAAGTGTGCTCATCTAGCTTCTTCCTTGTAGACCGAGCTGTGGCACAGACAGTCCCCCTCCCTTTATCTATTCCCTCACCCCCACCCCCCGCGACGGCTGGTTTGGTAAAAAGACAAACCCAACGCGTACAGGGGCCGAGTCCAGGAGGTGGCGGAACTCGCTGAAAGGGTCGGGGCGATGGGGGCCCCAGTGAGCCGGGGGATTACACCCGCCGCTGGCGCGAGTGCGCGCGCCCCGGTGCCCTCAGGATCTGCCTTCCCTCCCCCTTCTCATCAATGAGAAATCGGAGACGCCAGCGCGTCGCTAGCAGGGGCCAGTCGGTACGTTTGGAGGAGGTGCCGCGGGCCAGAACCGGGAGGTTCAACTTCCTTTCCTCCCGCCCCTCACAGCCGGGGTTACCGTCTGAGTCTCGGCCACCGCTTCCCCCTTCCCGGCTGGAGCGTGCCCACTCTTTGCATCTGCCTGTTCAGCCCCGGGCCTGCTGGCTTTTTGCGGCTGCAGCCGGGCGAAGCCTGCCCCTTGCGCCGCTCACGCCGCCTAGGGCCGGGCCTGCTTAGGGGCGGGAGCGGCGAGCACCACGCGTTCACACTGGCTGCGGCTGGGCCACTGAAACGGAGGGCGCGGTGGGGCTATGGGGGCTGAGGGCCTTGTCTGGCCAGAGCCGGAGACTAAGAGTTGGACGCAAGCAGTTCGGGAGGACCAGAAAGTGCAGCAGGAACCACGGGTGCGAGGCTGAGTCCCCTCCCGGGAACAGGGCCGCAGCCCTGGCGGTCGCTCCCAATAGCTCCAACAGACCGGATGATGGTTGTGTACCGCGAGGCTTGATCCCGAAGATTAAACATTGAGCACGGCAGGCGCCCCGGGGCAGCCTCTGCGGGTCTTACTCCAAAAGCCCTTCTCCCTGCTGAGTAGAGGGTGGAGTTGAAGGCGGCGAGGGGGCGGTGGCCCGAGCCAGCGGGTGCCGCGGGACTCTTCAGTCAGTCCTGTGCCCGGGCCCTCTCTGCCGCGTTTGTTACATCTTCCCGTCACACACACTTGCTTCCTTCCCCATTCCTTCCTTCTCGCATAACCCTGCGTGCTTTGTGTTTTCACCTTGCCATGCCCTGGTTGAACCTGCCTTTTTGGAGTCGGCTTCCCTTCGCTGGACAGGCGGAACCCCATTCACTGGTTCTAGCCCCCTTCCCTTGCGTCTCCTGGTCGATACTGCCTAGTCCTTACTTGTTGCGTTTTCTCAGAAGCCACTTTCTCTGACATTCCTGTGCTTTCCAGGTATCATTTCCCGCCTTACCAGCGTTCATTCAACAGGTACTGAGCCAGACAGGGCCTAGCTCTCATAGGATTGAAAAACTTGTCAGTTTAAAATGTGTCAGTTGTCTTCTTGAACACACTACTGTTTTCCTCCCACTTTTATCTATACCGTTCTTGCAATACTTTTTCCTAATATGCATGACTACTTACATGTCTGTGTCTCTTATTGGAGCATCAGCTCTTTAGGGAGCAAGGGTTTTGTCTCATTCTAATTTTGCTTCCTCACATACCTTGAAAAGTACCTTGTACATGACGGGTGATTGGGGAAATGCTTGTCTAGTAAATTGAATGGTGACTGGTTCCGCTCAGATATAGCATGGATTGTGAGGATGGTGCAGGACAGGGCAGTGTTTAGTTATGTTGTATATAGGGGGTCCTTGTGAGTCTCCACAGCACCTAACAACAACTTGTTAATACCTGAAGCTTTGCATATTTGGTCTCCCCTGCGTTTTGAATACTGTTTGATAGTCACATACTAGGGTCTTCCTCTTTCTTGCTTTTCTTCCCTTTGTTGACTTTTTTCTTCCTGGCTTGCATACTGCAGTCAAAGAATCCTACTGCCTGCTACCCCTTCTTTGCAGCTCTTCCTGAACCTAATTGTTCTACTTTCTTGTACTCCAATATCCTAGGGCCCCAATTTTATAACCTCCCCCAAGCAAACAAAAACAACATAATAACCACAAAGCCTGAGCCAGATATATATATGTATGAAAATGAACCTTCTCTTTTAATTATCTTTGTTAAAAGAAGGAAGCCCCAAACTAAGGCTTAGACTTTAGAATTTAACTCTTGGGAAGGAAAGTTTAGGAAACCACAAGGTTTTATCTTTTCCCTAGACACATTAACTTAAAAAAAAAAAGTTTGAAATAGTTTCTAGAAGAAGAAAAACGTTGTGAAGCTTCTAGTCTGCCATTTAGAATTTATTTGCAGTTGTCTTTAAAAATCTTAGAGCCTCAAACAAAACTTGTTACTTTTGAAAATTTTAACTTATCTTTTAAAAGTGATCTATACAGGCTTTTGAAGAACTGTGAAGAAGGCCAGGAGTGATGTTTTGCCATTATACCTCAGTGTTAACTATCCACATTCAAGAGGACTTAAAATAAGGGTACTTTATTAAACATACCATACAATCCATATTTATTCTCTTAAGAAGTACTAATGGAATGTAGCCTCCTTTTTGGAATGGGGTTGGAATGAAGCAAGTTTATCAAATTCATTGCTCTTTTAATGAATGATTAAATTCATACTGGCTTAAACAGTGCAGTAAATACAGGCCTTCTTACTTTCTTAGTAAATTATTTCATATATAATAGCATAGCAGTTGAAATGCAAAGATATACATTTCCTTGGAGAATAATAGCCTTATTTTGAAACTGCAGGTCAAGTTAAAAATATCCTGGGTAATATTATCAGGTAAATGACAGTTTATTTCCTGAGGTACAGGAAGATGCCAGCTTTTAGCTCCATAGTGCATTTTCGACTTTCAATTTTACCCTGAAAAGCCCTTGTGATTTTTCAACATTGAGAATAGAGACATTTTGTTCTTTTATGACATGCCTGGCCTTTACCTGTTATTCTCACTAACTGTTGACTTAATTTATAAAAGCTGCTAGCAAGGGAGCAAAATTGCTTAGTGGTAAGGCAATAAAATTCATTTGAGAAAGGAAGCTGAGCTCTGCCTTCTCTGTCAGCAGCCTGTCAGGTTTGTGTTAATAGCAGTGGATGCTAGTTGCTACAGTTGTAATTGTCTGGCCAATGATGATTATCTTCTGATGTCTGCTGACATGGTGTTCACCAATAGGAAAGCAGGAGGCCTGTGCTGACTGCTGTAACATTATGTATGTGAGCTGACGTCATCAAAGGGCTTGCCTAGAACCTCTTGAAACACTCCTCCCTCTCCTCTGGCATCTTCCACACATCCAGATTTTCAATGCTTTGTGTCTTTTTTTTTTTTCTTCTTCTTTCTGTGGAGCTCTTGGTGGTGTAGTGGTTAAGGCATTTGGCTACTAACCCAAAGGTTAGTGGTTCAAACCCACTGGTGAGAAAGATGAGCCCGTATGCTACTGTGGAGATTCACAGCCTTAGAAACTGAATGGGGCAGTTCTACTCTGTTGTACATGGTCATTATGAGTCGGTATTGAGTTGAAGGCAGTGGGTTTGTGGTGACGGATACAGGGATTTTATTGTTCTTATAATTTGTCTTCTATGTTATATAGTCTGTAAGATAGTGTAAGAATTTTTATAATTAAATACTGTCTAGTTGAGGAAAACTTTATTCACAAGTTTATTTTTTATTAAAGAATCATTTAAGAAGAAATATCTCTATATTGTCTTTTTGTGTGTGTGAGGCTTAGAAAGTAACATGAGGTTTAGAAAATATTAATTTTAGTATTAGAGAACATAAAAAGTAAGCTCATGTTTGTATTTTACTAAAAATATAGCATAATGTTCATTAAACTTTTTTAAATGCAGGCTGGGTATTAGGATATTATTTTTCCTTTAGTATTGCTTTGCATTGATCCCTGAAATCCTTGTGATCTGCTGCATGCATTTGAAATAAAGATGGCTGCAAAATAGTGCAATCTAGTCATCGAACAGAAGAGGCCACAGAGTGTCATTTAATTGGTGACGTTACAGCATATACAAATTTGGTCAACTGCCTAGGAAAATACTGTCTACATTTACTCATTATGTTGCATGTCACTAATTTAGGAGACTTTCAGCTCATATTAACTGTAGGATCAAAAAGCACTAAGTGTGAAAAACATGTATCATACA